AAAGGAGCAGTGTGTGTGTGTGTGTGTGTGTATTGGTGCGTATGTGCGTGTGTGTTGGTGCGTATGTGAGGAGGGATATGCCACCTGGACCACCCTCTCTCTCTGGGGCTCTGTGGCAGCTGAGCCAGCCATGAGCATCTGCACTGCAACTCCATAAAAAGCACTTTCCCCACTCCTCGTGCCCACACACAAGAGTCGGGCTATTTACAACAATAAACAAGCTTGGTGTGCTGGAGAACCAAGAACACGCAAACGCCTGCTCCTAAAAAAGTAAAGGTATCCCGCAATAATATGAACAGAATGATTGAGACATTTTGCAGTTAATGAGCTCCATCACTATACAGTATTGCTCACTGAAGGATATTTTGTGCAAGGAATATGAGACATTACATTATTATTAAACTTTATTACAGACACGAAGTCCAGATAAGAAAGACATTACACAAAAACAAAAACAACAATAATCATAAAAATAAGCATACATGATTACAGCAGACTACTGTACCAGTGACGCCACATTTCAGACTGATAGCGTGTGGCACTGATTCTGATGTTGGTCAGGCTCATTATGATCACATTCTGACTTTGATTCAGTCGACAAATAAATCTGTACATCAGGTTTCTTAGTACAGCACAAAAAGTTCGAATCCCAGAAGAAACAAATAATAGGCTGGCACTCTCCCACCGAGGCCTTTTCAACAGGATTCTTAGGCAGTCATTGTATGCCACATTTAGCTTCCGCATGCTGGATTGTCTATAGTTTGACCACGGATGTGCCGTATATAACGGTGTACAATAAGCTTTAAAAAGTGTCTTTTTCACTTCATCTGTACATGCACCAAACCTGCGCACAAGCCTATTGGCCTGTGCATACATCATGCGGCACTGCCGTAACACATCATCATCGTCAGACAGGTTATCAGTAATAAAATGTCCCAAGTACTTATATTTGCTACTCAATATCAGATTATTTCCACACAATTTAAATTGAGGAAACTTCAAGATTTTGTCATCTCTTGTCCGGCAAATCATTATGACATGACATGACATATTCATACATACTGATAATATAATTGATAATGCTGTTTCAACTACAGTTGAACCTGATGAAATCTCACACAACAAAGAGACAAAGTTAATCTTTTACTTGTTACATTGTACAAGGAGAATGTCTTGACAGAGGCAAGGCACAGACCCCAGCCTCTCTCAGGACAAGTCTGATGATTCACAGATGGCAAGCCCCTTTTGGTTGAACAAGACACACCTTCGTATGCAGATGGGAAAGGAAGAACCCACACAACAAAAGACACTCTGTATTAGCGTAAACAAAGAATGCTGTGTTTAACATATGAGCTCCCCAGACCTCGTGGAGTTTTGCTGGAGCTGAAGTGAATTACAGAATAGCGCATTCAGCATATAGCCACATATGATTTACCAAAATGATAACTTAAATTACATTCCAATATCATATTCCCTCCTTTTTATCCTTTTGATAAATCAAACAATCTATGTTTAAACATGGAGAACACGGAGAACTGAAAATGAAAAAACACACATCCAAACTGAAAAAGAAAAAATGTCATAGTATAATTTCACATTGTTGTTCCATAAACTATTCCCCCTGTTGAGACATAACATGGCTCAAAACTGAACAATGTATTAACTCTGAAATGTATTAACTTTAAATGTATTAACTTTGGTTATCAAATTTAACACCACGCACACGCCCAAAAGCCCGAAAACCCAAAGTCCATTTTCACAGTCCATAGTCAGTCCATTTGACACGTCCTCTTGACCCCTCCTCATGTTTGGTTATGACCAGAACTGTCCACTCTGTTCCTGTTTCGAAACTCTTCTCTGTCTGCGTTTCCGACGCAAGACTAGCAGCAAGCCGTTCCCCAACAACGACACAAAGCTGAACTTTCAAGTCGCAAATGTACCAAGATGTCACCTTCAATTCTCACGTCCATTTAACTTGAACAAACGGCCAGCAACCTCCGTGGGCCTGCGCGCTTTGATCCTTGCAAATCGGCCCGTGATTATTCGTCAGCAGCTTCCGGTGCGGGGGGGGGTTTGTGTGGAGGGTCGTTTCGTAGGTGTCGATGGCTGCATGGAGATGGCGATGGGGTGGGTTTTCTGTCCCACAATGGAAAATAGGTGGATTTTGTTGCTTTGAAGCTTTGGCAGGGAAGTGGCATTTTTCTCAAAAACAAGAAGCACATTTGTTAACACATTTCAGAATCAAAACATAAGGTGAAGGGTAATTCTAAACCAAGAAAACTTTGACAAAGGAAAACGAAGAGGACACGCAGAACAAAGAATGACACAGACAAACAAAGAAACACATGGCCAGAGGACAAAGGACCACATGGCCACCCAAAATGGCGGTCTATCTACTTTTTGCAATGTCCAACTCCAAATTTTGAGTAATTTAAAGGTCTTTAATCATCCAATTTCAATGTAGCTTATTTAGATGTCTATAAATGTCCAATTTCAGTTTAGAAGTAATGTAGAAGTTCAGTCCGAAGTAATTCAATTCTCCTAAATGAAACCCGGTTCATTCGAGCTCCACACTACTCTCTTGAATTAGTCCTGGACATAATTCGTAGTGTAATAAATTCCTAGACTAAGGCACAATTTTAGCGTTTTCCTAAATGAATGTGTTCATGTGAACTTCACACTACTTCCTGGATTACTTTTGGACATAATTTAGTGTGTACAGAACTTGCCTTTGTTGCAATTTCATCAGGAAAAAACTGTAGTTCTCCCGTCGACTCCAACCCAGGGCTGTCCTGCCTCAAACCTGGAGTTCCAATGCAGTTCCGAATGCAGAAGGCCTTGTTGTTGCTCCTGGAAGTCCATGTTTGAGACAAGCTCAGCTCCTGTAAGAAGTGTTGGGATCCGGCTCGAAGGACCAAGTGATAATGCTGTTTCAACTACAGTTGAACCTGATGAAATCTCACACAACAAAGAGACAAAGTTAATCTTTTACTTGTTACATTGTACAAGGAGAATGTCTTGACAGAGGCAAGGCACAGACCCCAGCCTCTCTCAGGACAAGTCTGATGATTCACAGATGGCAAGCCCCTTTTGGTTGAACAAGACACACCTTCGTATGCAGATGGGAAAGGAAGAACCCACACAACAAAAGACACTCTGTATTAGCGTAAACAAAGAATGCTGTGTTTAACATATGAGCTCCCCAGACCTCGTGGAGTTTTGCTGGAGCTGAAGTGAATTACAGAATAGCGCATTCAGCATATAGCCACATATGATTTACCAAAATGATAACTTAAATTACATTCCAATATCAATAATATTATCAAAATGTCAGTGATAGTAAAGATAGACTGCAATTGATAGAGCAAACATTACATATTTGTTTGTTATTCACATGCAGGTAAGGTGTGCACGCTCGTATCCATACTGCCTGTCACCAATAACGTGTTATTGGTGGTATAAAGTATACAAAAATGCAACATTTTAGACAATTAAGGGAAATATAACTTGTTTATGCCTGTTTATGGCATTCTTTCTTTCATTGCCAGTCTTTTCTGGTACATAATTGTATCTTGCACAGACTATATTTTTAACCTTTAACATGCTTGCACACTTCTGTCTTTTGCACAATCTGAGTGATTCTATCCGTGCCAAATGTAAATTTCTCCAGTGTGAGATCAACAAAGTCTCTTATCTTATCTTATCTTATGTGTCCTTACCGTCAGAGAGCTCATTTATCCTCTTTGTTTGTAGTATGGCATGTAACTGATTTAATTGTTTGAAGAATGTTCCAAACTACGATTTTAACTCTCTATTTCCATGGAATAATGCAGATGATTTCCACCTCCAGAAATGTATGTATAGTCATATGGCATAACTGTGAAATTCAGATGAAATAAAAATGTAGTTAATTTACTTGATGTTATATGAATATATTCGGTTCTTAGGCCCCTTAGATTATTGTATGTTACATGCATTGGATGATATTCCAGAGTACAAAGTTGGCACACCTTACAAACTGATGGCATCAAATGCGTGGGTGAGAAGGCAAATCAAGCATCAAAACACACAATAGCATTAATTGGATGTCGTCTTGACCAATATTTTACAGTGCGTCTCATGGAAAATGCTAAATCTCTTGTAAACATTTTGACTGCACCTGCATGAATTTGTCATGTTTTTCTTCTTTCAAGTCAACGCTGTTACATCCTAAGCATATTCAGAAACCTGAAAAAGTGCTTAACCTACTTGAAATTCAGAATCTGCTGTGTAAATAGCTTTTGTCTCACATGGGACAGGATTAATATGGAAATGAACATGTATCTTCAAAAAGATTCCCACCTTTGTCAATTAGGATAAATTAAACTGTTTATTCAATTTGCATAATACACATGCTTGTTACTCCAAGAACTGACTTAATTGTATTGCATCACCAAGGTTCTTCATAGTTTTAATTATAGCGGTTGCAACAAATCACTTCCTTCTAATTGTTGTTTTCAGAGACTAATTATTAAGTCAAGTTTTGCTTTGATTCTGATCTTCTAATAGCACAAATTAATTTACAAAGACTGCAGTAGCATGGTTCCTGCTCCACCTGTGAGAGTGGGAAAAATACTACAAACAGCTGTGATAGACCCCCAGGTGCTTGACAAAAAGATTAAAAAAAGCATTTGCAAATTATTCAAGTAATTGCAGAATATTTACGAGAAAACCGTGCAGAAACTGTGAAGAGATGTCATAACTTTTCAGCGCGCCGGCTTCATGTGGCAGCACCTGGATTTTTCATTTGCTTACGCCGTGGTAAACCTATTATAAATTGTCAAATGAAATAGCGTGTACCATAAATTTGTAGAAATGCGCTGTTGGTTATTTCATTGAGGTGACATGTTTTCTTTGGCATTAAACAACACAAACAAGTCAGCAGCAGAGTGTTCGTCTGTAAGCTATCAGGGGAAAACCAAGGCGGCTGCCAAAACCATAATTTTATCCTCTCTTTTCAGACCTCCCTCTTGTGAACCTCTCAGTGGACCCACAGCCAGTGTTGGAAGGAAACCTGGTGAGATTTCACTGCTCAGCGAAGGCTAACCCTCCTGTCACACAATACAGGTGAGAGAAAAATGTTGATCATCTGGGCACAATTCTTTAAAAACGCTAACAGGAGTCAGCCAGCCAAGGTCTTTTCTGTCAGACCCAGAATTCAGACTATAAGCATTACAATGGGGGGGGTGTAATTCCAGAAGTAGTTCTAAAGTAAGATGCTTTCTTTTGGCTACAGCATAGATAAATCCAACATACGATACCAAGCTTATGCTGATGTTGCGCAGTGCATTTAAATTTTTTTTACAGTTTAATCCTAATAAAACAGTCTGGCACCTCAGTCTTATTTGTGAATTGTACGATGTAGTTTTGTAAAATAAAATGTTTTTGAAAGATTAAAAATAAAAAGAAGAAGAAAATATGTAAATCCATAACAGAAAGCTGTAGTCACATGATATCTTTGTTGAAATGCTTTTAAATGTGGGATTTCCATAGTGAAAAATTAAATGCTTTAAAATCAATAAGAAATGGGATTGGGTGGCTCTGCTTCCTTCAGCACTGGGAAATGAAATGGATGTACTAGAGACCTGCTGGTGGCCAAACAGAGATGTAGCCTTTTCTGATGGATTTTGCCCTTTTGAAAGCAGAGAAAGAGGGCGCAGAGTGGTGATATTGCGGAAAACAAGGTTTGTATTTGATTGTGTGGGCGCGCGGCACAGACAGGACGTCTATAGCAAAGGGGATTTCACCTCTATTGTTATGAGACTGGATCAATGCTACAATCAGACTCCTTCCCCGGGGTCTCAAGGAGCTAAGACGCAATGGCAGTTCAAGATGACTTTTTCGGTTACTTTGACAGAGTGCAGAATGAAATAAGGTTGTCAAAAGGGAAGCTAAGAGAGGGTAAAACTGCCACTTTACCTGTGGCGTAATACATTGTTCAAATCCACTCGTCTCAATCCCGCGCCTTTGTCATATACTGTACGTTTAAATATCGCACCGGCAGACTAATAACTTTTGATATTCCAAGGTTATCCTCTCTACCCATTATTGAGCTTTGTCGGCAGATGCAAGATTTATCTGCAATTTATACAAGAGCCCCAGTGCTCCCATGGACCATTGGAGTTCAGGGCTTTGGAGGACCTCGTCATGCGTGCCTGAGAGGTTTTCCACTAGGGATGGAGCCCCCACACATCACCACCACCCCCCTGCCTCCAGAGAGCAATAACACAGTAGAGAGCAGGAAGTTGGTCAGGCGCTGTGTGGCCATTATTCAGTGCTAATACACAGTGTCTACCCCAGATCAGATATGGCACAAGGACAGAGTAAGTCTTAGACAGATTGACTCTTTTTCTATATCCTCAAGAGAGTGATCTATCCCCAGCATGCTCTGCTCGCCTGTGCCACCCGATTCAATGGACACTCGAGATACAGACGCAAGAGCTCTGAAAAGTAATGCTGGCGGCTTTAAAATCATCTTGTTTCTTGATGAAATCATAGAAATGTGCCAACTGGAAAGACTATTTATGTTTCTTTGCGGATACGAGGAACTAGTTCAAAGTACAAGATGACTTTTGAAGAGCCGATAAAAACAGTGCTAAAAGTGAATGGAGAGTAGGAATGGCCATTTGTTTGCACTGCGAATAATAAACATCAGTAGAACAGACAAGTGGGTCAGGGGGTGCTTTGTGATGGCAGAAGACTGGGAAACAGACAAACATCACTCAGTCTGCCTCTGATGGCAACACAGAGGGTTTTTGCTGATCCAAACTAGATGCTAAAGAGAGCGGGAGTAGTTTGGGAGAATAAAATAAACAAAGCAAATCAGCCCCCTTGTCTATGCATGCAGCCACCAAGCGACTACAGAAGCAGCTCCTTATGGTATTGCCTGAAATAACCCCATTCTCATGCACACATCTGAGTATTGTTTCATTTTGACTCAAGCCCGAACTGTTGCGGTGCTTTCCTTTGAAATGCTACTGGGTATTAATGATGTAGCGAGCCGTGTTCATGTTGTGGATTTACAGCCCACAACAATAATTTTCATGTTCCAATTTTATCTTAAAATCTATTTGTGTAAATGTATATATTACTTCATATATAGTTCAATATTGCCTCTTTGGACCTGCACATTTAATCTTGGGTAGTAATTCTCAAACCAAAAATAAAGAAACAATATGATTAAAACCACTATAGTTTTCACATTCAGGTTTTATGGCCTCTGTCACATCTTTAGAATAGATTTTTCAGACAGAAAAGTGCAAAAGAGAGAGGCAGCAAAACAATCTTGTTTTTAATCTTTCAGCAGGTTGCAAGGTTCTTTACTTATAAGAATGCAAAAATATAACACATTCTCCTGTACAAAGCAGACAGCATCTTTTGGCTTGATTTGTTCAGACATTTGACAAAACTCTTTATGTTCAGACAGACAACAGACGTTATTTGTCGGGGGGGGGAGTTAGGTGCCCATCTTTAATGTCGTCGATATTCTGCTACTGATTTATATCATCACTTTCCACGAGCTTGTAAGTGCGAATGGATCACACTGCGCTGTGGCTAACCATGCTGATAATAACTGGGGGGCCTGATTTACTATGGGCCTAGATTCTGATGGTACTGATACCTTATGCCTAATTTAATTGTCACTCTTTGTATTGCCTTAATCACATTCAGTGCATACAAATCTCTGCCCGCCAGCCGCCACCACACCCCAGTCTTCTCACTCGGCTTCAACTACTGCTTCCATTACCGCCCTGTTTATCCGTTTAACCACACGCAGACACACATACACTCACACATTATGCTTGAACATTTGCACCCGTCAGTCCAACAGTTCCTGAATAGCAGACAACGGTGCAAAGTGATTCAGATATTGACTAAGCTCGCAGCCGCCCCGGTGACCTCCCATTGGGTATGCAGGTGTTTGTGTTACCTCGGGCCGGTTATGTTTAGACATGAGTGTTGGACAAGACCCAAGCACGGTAGCAACGGAGAGTCTGTTTCTCCCCATGGGCTGCCATATTCCTCTCCGTAATATAGTCAGGTTCCTGCAAACCCACCAGCTTTAACCTCCACCCGCATGCACTAGCATCTGCGCTTATCATATTACACCTTTTACAGCAGGAGATAGACCCTAGAGTGGGCGGGAAGTGTTTCATGCCGACATGTGTACCGGAGCTGAACCTTCATTATAGACATCGGAGGTTGCAATTCTTAATGTCTTGTTTGTTTGGTCATGTATGCATGCGTGTTCATGCTTAAGAAACTCACAATGGACATTGTAGGCTGCAGATGCATTTTTAACAGATCTGTCAAGTGATTATTGTTACATATTTGCACATGGAAGAAAAAGTTCATAGGGGTGTCGGGTTCTGCGGATTTGTATTTTAGCTGTACAATGCTGAGTTTAACCATGTTGGAAGAGTATGAATACTCTGTTGTCTACATGTGGTGCAATTAAAAAAGTGGTTCTCTATCTTAACATATTGTCTAAAATACAGACAATCCAACCGTTTGTATGCTCCCAAAACGTGTTAGACTAGGTGAACTGTTTGCTGCAATTTTATATTGCAAACGATAAAATTTAAATCACACACAGGCTCGCTATACTGTCTAGTTATAACATAATAGCCTGTGCACATAGACAGTGACATCTTTCCTCAGGCTATAACAGCAAAGTGAGTCTTGTTCTTTTGCACTACCTCCCAGACATTTTACAACTCCTACTCCTGCTCTCCAGTCACTTCTGTAAAGGTCAGACAGGCCATAAACAGCAGTCTGCCCCAATTTCCATATTTCTGGAAACACAGGTGTTTCTCTGTGCTGCTTTCTCTCCCGGTTTTACACAAATTGGGAATGCAAGCTTCAGACAAAATAACCCCCATGAATTCCAATTAGAACATTGCGTGACATTAGTCATTTTAAAGGTTTCGTCAGGAAAGGATGGCCCAAAATCGTAGAAAACGTCTCATAAAACAAAACATTGAAACATTTCCGAACTGCCTCTTGGAGAAACATATTTTTTCAATGCAGGGATAGTAGTGTTAAGATGTATGATGCATTGGATGTCCCATAGCTGTCAGAATTCTGCAAATACACACGCAGGGAAGCCGATGCCTTTAGCTTTATAAATGGGCCTTGTCTGTTGCAGCTGTGGAGATCTATCCACGCATGCAGAGTGCTGTGGCAACATCAAAATTGTACAGGAATAAAAGTGTTGTGAATGGCAGCATTGTGTCGTTATGCTCGAGCCATCCATCACAAAACACAAACAGGTGTTCTTTACAGCAGCCCATGTCAATTTATGAACGTCAGATGTTGGGTGCATTACAGAACATGTCAGGCTGCAGCTTCAAAAGGTGAGAGAGCTACTCGTTTGTCATACCGTGATTTGTTTTGTTTTTTTGCTCTGCTGGCACTCAAAAGCTGCACTCGCCAGCGTAATGAGAAAGGCGCTGTCTGCCTCTGGAGTTGCCAGGGAACTCGTCACAGCATGGAGGGCTGCCACCAAAATATGCTGAAGCCAGCACTTCTATACCTGCCCCCAGAATGATGATTTATACACATGAAAGTCTATTGACACTAAGAGGTGTGAGAACCTGTCATAATGCCATCTTTTCTTTTCCCCCCTTTTCTCCTTATGTCTGACTCAGGTGGGCCAAAGGCGGCAGTATAATTAAGGAGGTTTTTGGAGACACATATGAAGTTATTGTGGACCATTCCTTCTTCACTGAACCAGTCTCCTGCGAAGTTACAAATGCACTCGGCAGCACCAACATCAGTCGGAACGTGGACGTCTACTGTGAGTGGGCGAGCACATATCGTTTGAATACTTTCAGTCAGCAGCATGACTGCAAATGATTATGGATTAACTGTCTTTAATATTTGGTGTCTGAGCCATAGAGCCGCTGCAATCTCAGTGGGAGTTTAATTATCAATGAATCATGGAGTGCTAATGATGTTTATTCCAACAGTTGGTCCACGCATGGCTGCTGAGCCTCAGTCGCTACAGGTGGACCTCGGCTCCGACGCTGTGTTCAACTGTGCGTGGACAGGAAACCCCTCGCTGACCATTGTGTGGATGAAAAGAGGCTCTGGGGTGGTGAGTTTCTTTAACTGGAGTTTTAATTTTTACTTTGGCTTGTGTCAACCATTTTTTATTTGTTTATTTTCACCCTATTGTCATTTAAGAAATCTGCATAATATATGTACCTTTAGAATAAAAGTCTCATATTTAATCCTTGAGCCACTAACATATCATCATGTTGTATATTAATATTGTTTCTAACTGTTATATATGGCACAGCTCGACCTACAACTGTTATTTTGATCTTCAAATCCAGACCGTTCATTCCCACCTTGCTTGTGTCAGAACCAAAGGCCAAAGCCAACCCTCTTTTCACTTCTCAACTCCAAATTGGATTTTAATAATTGAGAAGAGGTGCCCTTTAAGTTATTAAATGGTCCTACCTCTGCCCGTGCCTCGGAGCTGCCTTGTTGTTATCCCACATGCAGAGGTGACTTTGCTCTCATTCCCTTTGACGAGCTCAGACTGTTTTTGCTGTAGGTTTTGAGCAACGAGAACCTCCTGACATTGAAGTCTGTGAGACAAGAGGATGCCGGGAAATATGTGTGCCGCGCTGTGGTCCCAAGAGTCGGAGCGGGCGAGAAGGAGGTTTCACTGACTGTCAATGGTAAGCTGTGGTTGAAGTCGATGTTTTTTTATTAATACATTCAGTGACAAATAAGTTCTGGATGCAGTGCACTCTGACAATGTGGTCAAATACATGCACATAGAGAAGTGGATCCAGAGGTCTTGGGTCAGTGGTGGCAAGAAGCAAGCTATTTGTCACAGCAGTCAGCTCAGCGGTATAGTGTAAAGGCTGACACAATCTATGGGAAATACATGGGGAAGTGAGAGACCTTATCCACACTGAATCTAAAATACATTGATACTATTGACAGCATTGCAAGACCCCAGAGTCTACTTTAGGTATTAAAACATGAATATAAGATGTATTTGAAATGTTGATACATGGAGCAAATGTCAGTGTGTAACTCAACAAATAGTATACGTCAAGCAACACAAAAAGATGTACTACTTTATTACATTTGTCTATCCTTCGCAGACACTGTTTACAAAATAATTGCCTCTGTGAGAAAACTAGTAACTCAATTTTTCTGTGCTTGATATTCAGGCAACTTCCTCCGACGTGACACAAACTCTATTGTGTGATTAATATGCCCTTTATTCCCTTCAAGGTCTATTTATAACAAGCAAAACCCCCAAAAAATAATATTTCAAGCTGTCAGAATAATCTCAATTTCTTTCTCCACTGTATTATTATTATTATCATTATACACTTGGAAAACCAACAAAAGCCTGCAAGCAACATCCCCAAAGTTCCTGCAGTTATATTGACTATAGCAAACCTTTTTTTTTTCTTCTCCAAATTCGACATATTAGCTTTGCATATCAGAGAGAATGGGAAAGCATGTTCCCTGCAGCACAAGATCACAACCGTGATTTTCTATGAACCGCAAAAATCCTGCCTCCTCAGCCAAGACTCGAGTTGGAATTATGGCAGAAGAGGCTGAAGGCAAATAATTCTTTTTGTCTTGTCTGCTCTTCAAAGCAATCCACGCTGGGATCCTAAATGTGAAAACAGAATACATAATAACACACTCCACTGTTTATTTTCATCCACCGCCTTTCAGATACTTTGAAGGAGAATGTTTGAACAAGAGAACAAACACGCATTAATATACGGGTGGACACATCCTGCTGTCCAGCTACATTCAAATGACATGTTTTGCATTCCTTAATTTCTGCAGGCCGTCTGGAAATGAGCACTCGATATTCCAAAGGCGTCTTTCGTTTTATGCTTTTCCCTGAATTATTGACGATTTGCCCTTCTCCGCAGAGTCACTTGAGGATTGTGCAGTAATTTCTTACCCAGAGGTGCATCTGATTGTCAGAGTTGAAACTGGAAGTGCAAACGCAGCAGTTGAAGGGAAGGTGTTTTCTCCAGAGGTCAAATGATGCATTTCATCTGACTCAAAAACTGTCTTCTTTTGTTGTTGATGGTTGCTGCTTCTTAGACAGAGCAGAAACTGTTCCTGGAAAACATGCCACGCTCAAGTCAATGAAAGAATCAACCGCAATGCTCTGAACTTTTCATGTAACTGACCCACTCACGTCTCACAAAAGTCTTCTTGGAGGAGTTTGCAAAGTAGTCGTAACCCGGCGATAATCAAACATTTCGAACACAGAAATTGCAATAACAAGAAACACATAGGAGCCATTGGTTCAGCAGGATTACTAATGTCCGTAAATGTTAATAGATGTTCATAAATTTCCATTAATGTCATGGATAATCACTGTCCTTAGACCTGCTTCAGCATGGAACGACTCAAAAAATCCAGTGAGAAAAACAAAAACCTAGGGGAGGCATATTTTGAGAGAGGGATCAGCTCCCGCTAACAGACAGGCGGGTTTTTCACAAGTGCTAGTCGAAGTGGCTGGGTTCAGAGGTCCCATCATCATGACCTGAAACAGTAGGAGAATAGCAATGAACAGACTACAGCCGGAGTCTTAATGATGGCAGATAGTAGAGAGGAGAGGATAGTACTCAAGTCTCCACACTTTTCCCTGCAAGATGTATCCATATGCAGCTTGACTGACAATCTAAACTTCTTTTTACTTTTAGTTGTTTTTTAAAATGTTACTTACCTTACTTAATTAACAATACAGTCGTGTTTCAAGGCACATTAAACCCCAAAACTTCTGCTAACTTATTTCAAGTCTTCCTTTTTCATACTTGTTGTATGAAAGAAACCATTGTATTTGAGGTACAATAGATTACAAAAGCTATGTCAGATTGAACTGACAATAATTTTCCAAAACATCTCACTCACGCCTTTTTCCCACTGTCTAGTTCATAAATCCTGGAGAAAAATGATAATGGTCAACTTCATAATATTCATTTTTGTTGGACAATTACTGAACTAAATACATTTAATATTTATGAACACTTAACATTCACGGACGTCGCTATCCTATAACGGACCAATGTGTTTTTCATGGTTGCATTTCCTGTGTTCTAGTTCTTTTGATTCTCTGATTGGTTGAATTGACAATTTTATAAAGTCCTCTAAGACGACTGCTGTTGTGCTTTCGGGCTGAACCAAAATAAACAAAATTGATTTGAACAACTTAAATGTATTTTACAAAAAGGCAATACTTCCAGAGGTTGAAGAGGTTTGCAATGCAGCTCTGGCCAGCTCATGTTGTGCCGTTGAACAAGACACTCTCTGTGACCAGTCGCTGGGAGAAAAAAATATAAAAGGCTGCCATATTATCCTGTCATCCAGTAATGTTCGACAAACCCATGGCTCCAGTTTTATTTAAATTCCGATGTACCATTTTGACCATGCTGCCTCCTGCTTTGTCCTGTTGTTGTAAATTGAAATCGCTGTTAGAATTTGGAAAATCCTCGTGCTTTGTCCTTTATCAAAATGATTAGTGTATACAGGAGCGGCAGAACTAGCTTCGGCATTTTTTGTTATTATGTCTGTGCAAATGAAAGATTGTTTTTATTTGTCTTCCCTGCAGTTATCCCCCCTCGCCTAAATGCCCTCATTTAAATTACATGTGCTCATAATTTGTCATTGCCTCTGCCTCTCGTCGTGTGTCACAGGCTTCCATGCTGCTGCACCACATAACACATTAGAATTTCTGCGTTTTCCCCCAGGGATCATTGTAATTTAATTATTATCAAACAGCTAGCAGGAACAACGGTTTGTGTTGAAGTTACTAATGGATGCATTTAGCTTACTTTATGCAGGAAATGTTTCGAAATGGTAAAGTAACAAATGGTAAATGCAAACATTACAAACCTTACATTATTACCAAAGTACTAACTTTCGCTCCTCACTGAAATTAGTACTTTTTGCATCACATTCTGGTTAAACTGGAAAGACAATTACAGAAACAGAAAGTCATTTTAATAATTTGTTGAATGAATATGTATTGTTTGGCTCTGAGACCCTGTCAGCCACACTGCATGTGTCTGGGAGATGTGTGGTCTTGAGTGGTGGGGGTGATGAGGATGCTGCTGGGGCTTTGGTGGATTTGCTGAATATGCTCCTTTTTAAACTGGCTGTAGTCTGATGATTGGCTGAAGCTTATGAGGTAGGAATGTGACAGGTTTGAGTGGCAGGGGACTGTGCAGGAGTCCGACCTGCGGGAGAGCAGAGGATTGGAAGAACAAGAATAAGGAAGTTGATGATGTGGCGAGTCTGAACCTTTCCTATATCTCCATTGGAGATGCTGCTTTCCATCATAATCACATTTTACATTTAATAAAGAACCACATTGATGACATTGAGATCTCTGATGGCACCTAGTCTATTTTTAAAGTTTTGCAATCAATAATCATCAGAATTAGACAAAACATCTTGATTGGACACAGATAGTTTGACTGCAGCTTTAAACATTTACGCAACCAATTGTCACAATTGTCTATAGCTCGACTGTACTTTTGTTGGACCTACTCTCTCGGCTTTTAGTACTTGGCATCCCACGGATAAGAAGCCCATTACCACAGCTGGAAAAGGGGAAGGGACTTGTGTCCCACTGTGCATCGGCTTGTTATAGATATTTCCTCCGCCACTTTCTTGACGGCCTTTATGTTCCTGCTTAATTAACATTCGGTTCATCTTTAAACCAACAATGAGGATTCATAAGAAAGAAAATGAGATTTGATAAAATAACATTTTTGATGTGGTCTATTCCATCATTATTATCTTCAAATAAATCTGTTCTTTTTGTCACTTGGAAACTGCTTCACTGAATCAATATTACACAATCAGAAAATTTTATAAAATGTTAATTAGTGTTATAGCTTTAAAGATGCAACAAAAGCAAGACTTGGATTTTAAATACTTCTCACCCAATTACTTTGCAATCAGTGTTAAATCTGCAATACATGATTGGTGCTTAAGTAACCTTGAGAAACAAGTACAAAAGAGTGTAGTCAGTGCAATCTACCAGACAATGTTGTTGCTAATGCACACTACAATGCAGAGGGAGCAGGCATAACGGCTCTCAAAAGTCTTTCACAGGTAAGGCTTATTTGTGAGTTTAAGTACATCCAAGTGCTTCTGACGTAATCTAGAGCCATTGTATTATACAAAACACATACAAACGCATGCATGATTGAAATCAGTGTTATCTTTTGCCATTATGGACTCCCATTCAAATGCTGTGCTGTTTTCTTTTGGCCCATTTAGACAAAATATACCACTGTACAAACCAGGTAAAGTTGCAATGTTAAAGAAAATCTCACAGCTTGTGACAGGCAAATTGAAAAAAAAAAATCACACCTGATCTATTCTTCTGAAAACAAGGCTCTCCCTGGACTCTCTATTAGCGAATGCACGTTGTTACCAAGCCACTGCTGACATAGTTGCCCTCCAGCTACCAGCAACTCCTTTTCATCAACAAAGAAATCATAAAAACTCAGAAAACAAATGTCACCCTTTTGTTCCAAGTCGATGGAGCGGCTGGAGAGTGGCTACAGAAGGCGGGCCTTGGCCTTTTCGGCGAACGCTCACATGTCGTGTAATCAGATTGCAATGTCCACTTTTTACTTATCACCTCCTCAAAACGAACAGCCCCAATGTTGCACTGCGCATTTTGATTACATCCCCTGCTGCTCGCATTGATGTTTCAGAGCCACCCACCTTCTCCACACCTCCTCTCCTTGTTTGTACCTTGATCACACAATGAGAGTTGCGTGCATACTTTGCAATCCAGGCTGAACCGGCGAGATAAAGCTGTATAATTATATTCCTCATTTGCTGCCAGGAGCCACACACTAGACGAGATCCTCCCTACCCATTCCACTGACCTGACGCAGCCTGGATCTAAAGCTTGTTTACTCAGTGCCAAACAATAACAACATATTCCAGTAACTTGCAGAGGTGGAAGTGTGGAAATATGCACATTTACAATTTGTTTTGGATATGTTTTTGCCACAATTTAACTAAGTTTTTGAAACTGTTAAATCAAAATGCTGTACAATTACATTAAGATACTTGCTGTTTTCATAAACTATGATAACTGTTCAATTTCTCAAAGATTAGGTATTGCACACTAAAAATCTCTTAAGGAGGTGCAAATGCAAAGGGAACAGTTTTGGACATTTATGTTTGAGAGTGCAAAGCTTTCACGCTATTTGAAATTGTCAGATATCTGACATAAGTGCTTGTTTTTGGTGGTTTTTATATGCGTTATTGGTCAATGTATATTGTAGTTTTGTCTGAACTAAGTCTAAAAAAATAGACTATTTTATATTCAGTCATCCAGAAAGTACCCACACTGAATTGTTGAGTGAGTAGTACATCAATGAAAAGCACAGAAAGTCCAAAGAGTTGTTAAAGTTGTCACTCAAATACTTGTACTCGGCTACAGTAGAGGAGATGCTATTGCATTTCTGCACGGAAGCCTTTGTCAAAACACATGACAAACTGCTAAGATAAAAAATAGGAAAAAAAAAAAAAACATTCAAAAGGAAGTTATAACTGAAGGTGTACACCAACATTCCTCAAATTGAATGAGAAACCTCTGATCCATAATTCTTCTCTATTTATCTAAATGGGCATTATGCAACTATTCTGCTCCAGTCCACCACCTGTGTGATGGTACTGTATACCTTCGCTTGGTACCATCTCATTAAGTCTTTACTGCTCAAAGCTCTACAACCTTGATAAGACAATAGCCTCTCTGCAGACTCTCTCCCTGTGACATCACCCAATGCCATCAGCTGCGTGTCCCATACGTAAATGCTCATGGTAAACACTTAGTTACTGGACCTTTGATAATCATAATTTTACATACAAAAAAATATATAATAAAAATCTGCTCAGACTTTTCTTCAGCACTTTATCTTATCACTTATTGACTCGCCGTCTCTGTTTGCACATCGTCCCCGGATGACCCCAGACTTGTACAGACACTGTCACCACATGTTGACCAGGAGAACAGCATTCCTTGCAGGCTCCATTCTGTAGGAGGCAGAGGCTTCCAGCGTTCTCCTCCAGCACACCAAGCCACCATCTGGCTAAGTCTCATTAAAATGCTAATTCATTTTAATAAGAGACAGGTAATAAACTGCAATTATGTATCGTGGAGAGATGAGGGGAGTTTGAGGGAAGTTGGCTCCCTAATCAAGAAGCTGCCTCATTTGCCACCCACTTGAATCTACATTTCTTACCTAAAAAGCCTGCATGACTTTAGACTCAAATTGATTAAAGATTTGTGGGAGTAAAAAAAAAAAAACTTCTTACAGTGTTTTAATTGTGCAACACATTGCACGGTGTTAGAAATAATGACATATAGCAAAAGTTATACATTGTAAGCAAAATGTTGTATGTTTCTACCAAAGCCTGCGTTGCTCCTATTTGAGTCCCCATAAATTGTTCTGGAGCAAATTGTTGAAAATGAACCACCAATACCGAAACATGTTGAAGATTACAGCAAAAGGAATAGAACTTTTGATTAATTTTCAAAACAGATATATTTGTTTTGCCAATTGACTCACACTGCCAAAAAGTAATTAAAAAAAAAAATGAATTAGGCAAGACTAATCTTGATTCCTGCACATTTTGGCTGACCAACAAGATTTGTCGATGGGACAGGCAAAACAATAATATGACCTGTCTCATTAGCAAACCACTACCTCTTATGTTATCAGTATTTACAGTGCACTTGACCTTTTTACATACCAAAAAATACATACACAAAAAACACATTAGGAAAGTGTTTGGAAGGCTGACTTGACATCCTGTTGTGATGTTTGCCTGTCACCTGATGGGATCTGCTCCAGGAGCAGATGGCAAGATGACCACACGTTCACTTCCACTGCCCTCGTCAACTATAAACATGACCCAAGTTCAAGTGAAGATCACGGGGATAAACCAAAGAGAAGAAAACCTCCTCATCTAAGTTTTCATTTCTGACCCGAGTTCAAAAGTCAGCTTGTGTGGAACAAACTGAAAATGTAATCTGGGATTTACTATTGGTTTCCCATCTGTGGACTTGTGGTCGCTCTCCACATGCAGTGTGCAATAAATCAACCCTTTCTTGATTCAAAATGATGCTTTGACCTCTTTTTTCTACAGTTCTAGTTTGTCCTTGGATGTGTGTCTCTGTATCTTGCTGTATCAACAAATTAATAATGTCTTATTGCAGAGTTAGCTGTAAAATCACTGATGAGAGAGTGATTGGAACATAATACAAGTCTGAATACAATTTTCCAATAACCTTTTCTTGCTTGTTGTTTTCTCTCATTCATGTTTTATTCAAAGGAATCCTCTTAAACAATTTGATTACTGTTGTTCATGTTGTTTCAGGGCCCCCAACTATCTCCAGTACACAAACTCAGCAGGCTCTGCATGGGGAAAAAGGACAAATCAAATGTTTTATTAGGAGCACCCCACCTCCAGACCGCATTGTGAGTACACCGACCCTATCTCTGCTCATTCCATTGAGATAGCCTCACATGAGTGTGGATTGTAAAGCTGAGATAATACAAAGATGTAGCCGAGCTTCTTTTTAAAGCTTTGAATTAAACATAACAAATTCTACTGAGGATAAGATGTGGACCTATTCCCATTTAATATGTTCCTCAGTTCTGTTTGTACTGATCCCATTAAGATTTATGAAGCCTTTATAAACAGCTTAGTCTCTGAGCTCATTTTGTTCCTATTATTAATTTGTGAGTCTGTGTATGCATATGCATATGCCTAATTACCATACTTTGTCATCTAATATGTATTTTTATTATAGTGGTATGCATGCAGCCTCAACAGGCAAGCTAATTAATACCCCCTTTATTTGAGAGGCGAGCCACCGGGACTGGACTTCTGCACACACTATAGGTCGTGTTTTCACTGAGTCTGAATGAAAGGAAAGAGTAACACTGCACATTCACAGCTCGCTGCAGACACCTGTCTATTATCACACGCCTCAGGCATAACGTGGTGTTTACTTGTGTCCTGTCTCTTACTCACACTTTAATATCTCATGTATTTAGCACCCTGTTACCTCAAAACAACTTTGTTTGACACAATAAGTGTAGTGGGCCAATAAAATTGCCAAATCAACTTCACACTGCATTCGATAAAACATGCAAATGCGCACTGCTTTCTCTAATCCACGCTCCACGTCCTATTAATGCTTAACAAGGGTAAGTCCAGCGCACATCTTTGTTTATTCAAATATAAACCCGTCAGGCATGTTATTAGGAAAAAGCTAGAAGGAAAAAAATGTGTGTAATCATTTATTTTACATGCTGCATATTATAGTCACATGTTGTAATGAATACCTTCTGTTCCATCTGTAGGCCTGGTCATGGAAGGAGACTGTGCTGGAGTCGGGCACATCTGGTCGTTACACTGTGGAGACCGTCAGCACAGAGGAAGGAGTCATTTCCACTTTGACCATGAGCAACATCGTCCCCGCCGACTTTCAAACCATTTACAACTGCACGGCCTGGAACAGCTTTGGCTCCGACACTGAGATCATACGCCTGAAGGAACAAGGTGGGAGCCAAGGTTCGAGCCGTTCCACCTTTCTCTTCTCTGTCATGTTCTGTGGTAGCAGTACATGTGTTGTGTGTCTTTTGTCTCTTATCTCTCCGTACATCCAAAACAGTCGGTCCCAGTTACAGAAGACATAATATTCAAAACCGACGTTGTTCTCTTATCAAGTACTTTATCTAGAAACTTCTGGTTAGAAGGGTTTAGCTCTGCCCCTTCTGTCTAAATGCTCCAGTCTCAAACCAGTAACAATATGATAGTATTGTCACCATATTACATCACCCTCAGATCCGTTTTACTATTTAAAAAAAAAAGTATTGGTAAATTAGTTTTGTGAAATGCCATTCTTTACGTTTTCAAATTGCAGGAAACAAAAAGGGGTCCTCCCTCTGGTGGCAGCATAAGGAGTTGCATGTGGATATATTTTTTTGTTGCCATAGATATTCTACCTAAAGATGATCAGGAACTTTAATTGTATTTGCATTTCAAAATAATGAGAATTTCTGACTATCACGTACAGAAAGTAATTTTCAACGATATATATACAGATATATATATTTTTTTACTGTTCTTCTCATTAGCATATTGACCACCAGTAAGATTAGCTGGAGGAGATAAACCAATGGACCAGGGATCTCTAGGATTTTAAATGTGAGGGTGAGCGTGGACAGATCTAACCGGTGCTCTCACTCCAGTCACTCTGCTGACATTAACTTAAATAACCTATATTATTTCACTTTCTAAAGCATCAAATGACAAAGTTAAACAGTGTCATTTCAATGTGTAATGGAAAAACCATGATGCGTATTTCTTTGAAGCTGACATTCGGCTGTGTTAAATGCAGTTTTACCAAGAACTGTCTATGCAATTGCATTGATTCATACACTCAGAAACAAGTCCTTCAGTCTTCAGCCTCAAGCCAAATCACAACTCTCACAACATGTCCTTCAAAATATTCAACTTACGTCCAGTGCATTCAGTCTTTTAAAAACGAGAAAAGAATCGCATGCTGCTGTGAAACCGTGTGCGAGGTTTTTTCAGAGGCACTTATGAAGCCCCATCAGATTTCATTTGAAGTTTGTGAGGAGTAACAGTTGACAGCCGCTGGAGTGCATGGCCCAAATTGTGAAGCGATTGATGTGCCGTTATTGAGAACACGGCAGCAATAAATTCGTTCCAAATTAGCTCCCTGGTCTAACCTAAAGTATATCTTCATCTCAAATTGAAAGAGGGACCCTTTAACACGGGCTATGAGCTGAATTTTAAGCATGCAGTCTCAGCCAGTGCATTTAAGGAAACTTATTTATATATTTCACCGAACAATGAAAAATGCCCTTTTTATCGACTGACCCTTTGTCCAAATCGGGGCCTTCAGCGTTTGAGCGTTGGCGGTCTGAATGCACCATAACACTGTTTCCTGACAACAAATAATTTCAGGTCTCCTCCTTGTTCTGCACATAACCTTTTAATTCCTGTCCATTGCCACTAAACCCCTGCGTTTTCCATTGAATATTTCTCATACTACTCTCGCACTCCCCCTCCACACCCCTCTCTTCTCCTCCACCAACCTTTTGTACCCGGTTCCCAGGAAACACCTCACATACCCGGTAACTTTTCCCTCCCTTCACTATCGTATTTTGATCTGTTTTATGCTTTGCCTGATTCGCACAATTTATGACATAGCTAGAAACACCATCAAATTATCCACGACTCCATATTACCCTCAATCACACTCTGCGTCTTATCCTCTAGCACACTCTGGTCTCCATTCGCTCCTGGGTTTTGGATTTTGAACTTTCCTCACTGCTTCTGCATAAGAGATCATTATTCACAACCTCACTCTCCTGAATCTCCACCGCGTTTTTCCTCACTTCACAACCTCCATAGTTACATCATGTAGCCCCCACATTTCTACATTTAAAACTCAAACACCCCACCTTTACTTTTCCAGGGAGTACTGCACCTGTAAACTACAGTAAAAGCGATAAGCTCCTCCACATTCTGACTATCAACTCGCCTCATCAATTCCACTCACAGCTCCACTAAACAAGTGTCTACAGTAGTCCCATTTTCGATTTGTCGTCATCCATTCACACTTTTCATAATCACGCAGCTGCGTGAAACAATTACATCCTACGCGCCACTAGTGGCAGGTTAAGTCCGCTTTAGCTCTGTCCAGCGACTGAAACGCTCAGCAGGGCGTAGGTTGCGTGGGACCATGGGGACATTCCCACCAATATTTGGTGAGGACTAAAAAGTCCCCACCAAAATGAGCATATCGTTCCCCGTGACCCGGACTAGACCTTTTCACACCACGCCCCTTCTCCGCCATCTTCCGCCTTCTCGGAGAAAGCAACGTCCGGTTTCGCGGTAAGTCTATGACAGATCATACTTTTCAGACAAAACGAGTTAAATATCTCAAATCTTTCTGCTTTTCCAGAATGTCCTTCGGGCTATGTAGGGACAACTCCGGTATGGTCACATTTATTGGTATATTTCTCCCGAAAAGGTTTGTGTCTTAGAAAATGTGGTTTGTCAAGCAAAAGGCTAAGTTAGCATCCAGTTACCTGCACGGCTGTTTCGAGATTCTGAACACAATCTTTAAGTTTTTATAATATTATTGCTTTAATAAGTTCAAGACTCAAAGGTGTAACTACATAGTATGATTTGGTTTTTTCTTTTCTTTTTTACTAGAATGCATCCCAAAAATCTTGCGTGTGCCTCTTTGAACAGCAAACAAGTGAACACATCCTTAAAAGTTTCCACGAGTTCCCCATGATTTTGAGACGTCAAATGGATCTGGGCCATTCGAAGATTAGGGTCCAAATTTTAAAGGTGGAAAAGCCGCCATGCCTTCTGCAGTTTTACATTATGGACGCAGATGACCACTACACATCCAAAGAGGATTGAGGAAGGTCCAGAATTCTGCCATCCCAAATTTGTTTGGAATAAATGGGGAAGGGTGTGTGGTCTGTGGTGTGTTTTGTGGTCTTTCCTAATGGCAGCAAAAGGTATACTGAATAACTATTGTTTAACTCAAATAATTAGCGTGACTTCACGTGGCCTAAATGTTTTTCCACTTAATCATCTAACATATTGAAACATAATGCAATTTTATATTGATGTTTGGAAAGGAAAGAAGTAAGGAAAGGCCAACAGGCTCCGATGTTTAAGTTAATTGAGGGGAGTGCGAAGATCTTTGTCCGGAAGAGCTTGAGAGAGAGATGGAGCTGCCACACAAGGACAGTAGCCAAGGCTGTTCAGACCATGAATACACAAAGCAACCTCTCCCTGGTAGTAATTCATACGGCAACGTATGCACTTAAGACAAGTTTAAAAAGTTTCACCTGGACTCTGGATTAATTGTTTGAGAAACAGGAAATTGTAGCAAGCTTAATCCTGTCCAAAGAGATGTACACTTTGGAACACGTCCAGATAGACTAATTTTGGATAGATGGATGACTATTTTGATCAACTGCTTGATAATTGGGATTATAACTCTTAATATATTGTTTATTATTTCTAGGACAAGTAGACAGGGCTGCAATTGCAAATTAAGGACGTGGAGCAAAGGTGTTATGTCTGGACGGAAACTACATTAACTAACATTTAAAGACGAGCAGCCTCTTATATTACAAATTTATGTGTAACAGATGAAGGACTTTCGCTATTATTGGCGATTTTCTTCTATAGAGGTTTTTGAGATATTTTGGAGTCTTCCAGCTTCTGCATCCTAAATCTGTTTATTGAGTAAGGCACAGCAATGTGCATAGTTGAAAACAAGCCCTATGAGAAAGCTCTCCGCTCATTGATGAATATTTTTTTTTTCGAGCCATTGGCAAGGACAACAACAAACAAGACTAAGAATGCAAATATACAGTTTTTTTTTTATAACAACATCCAGTTCAAAAAGGATGTGAAAAGTTTAAGAATTTTAACTACCACCCTCTTTATTATTCTAGAATGAACTTAACTTTAATGATGTGGTTGCTACAGAATTGGTTTAATGCCGTGTATTTTTACAAATATCATGCACATGATTTGTACAGTGTAGTCTAATATGTGTTATATATTAAAAGTTCCTTAATTCCTTATACTCTTCAGTACAGTCTTTACTCATCCTAACTTTATCATAATTATATTCCATATAAGATTTAAAATAATTTTCTTTATCATGGTACATTATAGAGTAATGTTTAGATTATATAAATCATATATAATAATATGTTTAGTACATGTGTATTACTGGTAAAATAAATGGTATTATATAATGGTGGTTATACTTTATTCACGCTGTGGCAGCATGTGCATGTTATTCACATCAAAACATCACCAAGAAGGCTTTGTATAGAGTGCTTTTAACACCACTTCTTACAAACTTGGTCGGCGTGTATTTTTTTTACCACCATATCGATGGTACCTCTGTGCAATCCCCTAGATAATATTAAAATATCAATTTCCAGATGACTCCACTTTGGACATTCCAAGGTCTACCTGGACCCTAGGGCCCGAATGCCATGATTGCAATGTACTTGGTGCAGGATAAGTAAGGGCACATTTTAAAGCCCAGTGTACGATAGTGAGCCAGTTGTAGAGAAGAGCCACCTGGTGATGCACAATGCCCCTTCCAGCGGCACACGAGCAGGAATTCCCTGCACAGGTTGGGATATTACAGAAAGGAAGGTTATCTGTGAAGTGAAAACATATGTGAGAGTTTATAGCAACAGATTGCAAATTTACGACCCTCCCTTTCAAAGAAACCTAATTTAGCTACACTCAAATAAACCTGAAGATGATGACTTCCTCGTTTTTCTTCATTGACACTTTGGACATCTTCCACTCACGGTAACCTCACCCTGAACTACAATTAGATACTGATGAAAAAATCTTGTTAGAATAGAATTTCTTTGCTTAAAATATAATTGTATGAGTAAACAATGTTCCGAACCTTTTCTCAAATATTATCCAATCTTAAAATTACACACACCCGGGAGTTGAAAATATATCCTTCTTAAAGAATGTGTAGCCTTGTGTCCAGTTTAGAACATTTGGTCAATGAAATTTGTCCACACTCCTCAGGACATCAGCAAATTGTATTTGAGAAGATTCAAAAGTGATATTGATAAATTCCCTATCTTAA